AGTTTTCGACAGAAATCGGCTTGTACAGCATGACTATGCACAGCCAGTTTTGTAAAATCTGTCATATACAATCTTCCGCACTAATTTACAGTGACCCCATGCACTACCTTATGATTACGATTGACCTGTGACCCAATCACATTTTAAATGCCTGCAATTTTATTTTATTTTTGAGTATGAATCTGCGAAAGCACTGTACATAAATAGGGTCATCAAGGGCTCTGCCTGTAACCCTTCAATATACATACATACAAACAGGGCAGTTGTCCCACGATGTCGTTCCGAATGGCGAAGGCGACACCCGCGTCCCGTCGCTCTGCCCTGGGTCGACCACTCTAGAAGAAGGTGTAGCCGGCACCCACCTCCTCCAGTTGGCCTTGTTCAGAGAATCGGGTCTCGCTGAGTGCGGCGATGTCCACCTTGTAGCGCGCCAGTTCTCGTGCCACTAGCGCCGTCCTCCGTTCCGGTCAGTTGCTCCTCGGATTGTCTAAAAGGGAGCGAACATTCCAGGCTGCCAGAGTGAGCGGGCTCACCCCGCCAGTCTGTCGACTGCGGCGGTGAAAAGTAGGAGGAGGAGAAGAAGAAGAATAGGCTGGAAGAGGAAGAGAGTGGTTGTTGTTGTTGTGGTTGTTGTTGTTGTTTCGGTTTTGGCTGTTTCGATCGTGTTTTTTGTCTGCGGCCACGGCCAGGCTACAGACAGCGTGGTTCCCAGCGATCTTTATGGCACCTTTTCTAGCCCCCTCCCCCTCGCGAGGGCAGGCAATGCATCTCTGGACAAGGCTGCCCGGTTATCCCAGACGGCTGTCGGACCCCACTATGGGCCACGACTTTTTGTTAGTGAGAGAACGACCCGAATTAGCCTGGGACCTTGGTGGTGATGGTGATGTGATGGAGTTCAGTTCAGTTCAGTTCAGTTTATTGAGGGAAATAGGCATAAGCCTTTGAGTACCCTATTTGCAACGTAAAAAATGTGTGGTGTACAGATACATGTTCTGGGCTGAAATAGTTCGAACACGCCCATAATGGTGGGACAAAATGAGAAGGAGTTACAGGGGTGAGCTCGACTTCTCATCGCTCTTGGTCATTTTGGAACATATATATGTCCACATTCTTCATAAAAATTTGCATAGATGCTGACATCACAACATCTGCGGGAAGCTCATTCCATGGTTTGACCACCCGAACCGCGAAGGAGAACTTCCGCACATCCAGCCGTGCCTGCTGAGTGCGCAGTTTTAACGGGTGACCTCGGAGGTTGGTCGTGGTAGCAAATTCAAAAAAGTCTTCGAAGGCCAGACTGCGATCCAACCCCTTTACAATGCGGAAGGCTTGCAAGAGATCTCCGTGAAGTTGCCTGTAACTCAAAGGAAAGAGGTTCATATTTACCAGGCGAGTTGCATAAGGAAAGAAGCTTTGACCCCTAACCATCTTCGTGGCTCTCCTCTGGACTCTTTCGAGGCAGTTTTGATCCACAACAGCCCACGGCCTCCAAGCCTGTATGCCGTACTCTAAATGCGGCCGGACGACTGTTCTGAATGTCTTTGAGAAACCTTCTTCGTCGAAGTCCATAAACGCACGCTTGATGGCGTACAGTACGGACATTGCGGTTTTTGCCCCTCTCGAACAGTGGGCAGATGGTTTTAGGGAACTGGTCGTCAGCACACCGAGGTATTTTTGGGCTTCGAACTCTTGTAGGGCTGCACCGCCCAGAAAGTAGCCTCTTGTGCTGGCGGATCTGGCTGTGTGGCCTAGGCGAAGTATGCTACATTTGGCAACGTTGAACCGCAGGAGCCAACGGTTTGACCACTCCTCCAACCGATTCAGGTTCATCTGCAGTCTGTCTTCATCGGCAGGACCCCGAATTACACTCCATATCTTCATGTCATCCGCAAACATTGCTACTTCACAGTCTAAATCTCTTGCGGCATCGTCCACGTAGATAAGGAACAAAATGGGTCCCAGTACTGAACCCTGGGGGGCACTGCTCTCGACCATAGCAGGGTCTGATTTTCCCCCACCGATACAGACAACCTGGTGTCGACCCACAAGGAATTTTTCAATCCATTTAAGGAATTTGCCACTGATCCCTATTTTTTTTCAGCTTATGTAAGAGTCTTTGGTGTGGCACAGTGTCGAACGCCTTCTGGAAGTCGATGAAGGCTATGTGGACCTCGTGCCTGTCGTCGAGAGCTCGGGTCCAGCTCTGGAGAGATTGCAGCAAGTTTGTCGTGCAGGATCTTCCCTTCCGGAACCCATGTTGGCATTTCGATAGTAGGCCGTGAACTTCCAGGAATTGCATCAGTTCACTCTTTATTATCCTTTCCATAACTTTGCAGAGAATGCATGTCAAGCTTATGGGCCTG